TTCAAAGACTGCACACAAAGAAAACAATGTAAATTATCTCACTTATAAGGCTTTATACTGATTACACATAGAAATAAAAATATTTCAGATCTCTTGGGTAAAATAAAAAATATTATAAAAATTGATTTTTATTTTACATTTTTTTTACATAATTTTACAAAATTTACGTAATTTTTAACGTGGCTACATTGAAAATTATGTCCGTGGCTCCCATCTGTGGCCCACAGATTTCAACAGAACAGCACTGCTCTTGATAATCAGTTCAAAGGGTATCTGCAGGGACACACGCCATAGGAGAGCAGACACACAGGATGTTCTGCACCCACGCTCTCCTCCTCCCACAGGGGCATGCACAGTTCTGAGGTGCAGGGCTAGAGGTATGCATGACGCCACCGGTATAAGGGGTAACAGGGAATCAACTCCAACGGACAGAAGTCTTTGAAACGAAGGTGATTATAAACTTCGGTACTGTTACCACAGTTAGCAAAGTGCCATTCAGGGTCCAGCCACCGATGACTGCAGTGGTTCAGGGTACGGGGCGGAGTCATTCTGTGGGCAGAAAAGAGAGGGCACACAAGGACACAGCTGGAAGGTGCCCTTCCACAAGCCAGGACTGATTTGGCCTGCCCTTTGATCTCGGACTTCCCAGCTTCCAGACGTGTGAGAAATAAATTTCTGTTGTGCCCCCAGCCTGTGCGGTTCTGTTACGGCATCCAGAGCAGACTGATACACACAGTAAGCAAGAACAAGCACACTTCAACTTGCAGACGCTTTCCAGGGTAATGCTGGCTCCTAGCAATGAATCAAGGACAAAAGCTTAACTCAAACTGCTCACTGAAACGGTCTGCCCTGAAACGGCTCACCTTCAAAGAGTCTACTCACACACAGACTCTGCTCCCACCTGCCACACGGCAAAGGCATCCACGCAAGGTCTGTCATGCACTGCATCCTTAATGCGACGTGCTAGCAGCCTTACAAAAACATCTATCCAGCACCCTTCCGGGGTTCCCCAGCTACTGCCTGCTTAGCCACACAGCTAAGGGCCACAGGGCTCTCCAACGGGATGGACTTACCCTCAAGTTCAAGCTCTGTCCTCCTTGGTACTGGCCCTGAGCTCTAGTCTCCTCACACAGAAATAAGGGCCAGAGCCCATTTTACCGTGTTATTTCAAATATGAAACAGGATGGCACATGTGGAAAGCAATTTGTAAACTATAAATTAACATACAAGTATTAACACCGATTATTTCTATCTGCCTATGGCACTCTGGATCTTCATTAACCACTGACCAGCAGAACTATCAAGAAGAAACTGCAATATTTCAATTCGGAATGTACTTGAAGCTTCTTCTCTTAAAAACATGAAAAATACAAAGGGGACAAAAAAGTAAGGTGGAGCCAACGAGCCCACTGACCAAGCCAGGATAACAAAGGCTTCACCTCGAGTTTCCAGTTCATGTTGGCACACACAATCCACTGAAAAGCATATGGAGCCAAACCTCCAGGTGGTAATGCAACTGGGTTTGTTTTTTGTTTTGCTTTTTGTTTGTTTTGTTTTGTTTTTTGAGTTTAGCTGCAGGACTAGAAATGATTCATTTGACCAAGAATTTACCAACTAGAGAGGCCACCAGACCAAATTCGCCCATTGTCTGGACATCCTGGGGCCAAAACCTTCCACAATGTCACAGGTTCTGAGCAGAGGTACAAAAATCCTGGCGATCTTTTATTACTCACATCTCAGTGGGAACCTAGAGCCCTAATAACTCGACAGACTCAGAACTCAATATTCATGTGTTTAGTCAGTATTTGCTGGGAACCATGTGTATAAGGTATGAACACAAGAAACCATAGGGCAGACTGTAACGTGTGTGTGCACACGTGTTCGGGGCACGGGGTGGGGGTTATAACTTGCTAATGTTGATTACACCTTCAGAAATAGACATACTTTGGGATCTGTTCAAAGTAAAATGCAGGAAAAGAAAGAACAGTCTAATTTTTAAAACTGTGTTACTAAAGTGGCCTAAAGAAATAGGAAACTATTTTTACTTTAGCTGCATACTTTTGATAACTGGTTAAAGGCTGTCTTGACCTCCTTCTAAGTTGCCTGAACGCAAGCATTTAACAACATACATGATAGCATTTTTTTAGCGTAGGCCCTTTGAAAACATGCCATGAACGGTTTCCATCACTCATCTGAAGAAAGAGAAACAATTTGGAAGCGCCATTTGTTATCCCTCTGGATGGGAAAACTAATTCCCTAAGCCTCTGGGGTGAGTCGTGGGGAGTTTCCAGTTCATTTGTGAAAAAAAAGTTCAGCTTACTAGTTTTCCCAAACATTGTCCACTGCCCTCCCCTGCAGATCCAGCAAGCAATTTTCAGCTCCTCAGCTAGCCAGCCTCATTCTGAATGATGGAGAACCATGTCCCTGAGACCCCCCCAGCGCACGCTGCAAGTCAGTCTGGGCTGTTAGAAGCATGTGTATCCCAGAGAACAACACAGCCTCATTTAGCCAGGGCAAATTAAGCTAATGCAACTTATCAAGTAAAGGACTCCAGGTTATTTCAGGCAATCAGGGAGTCTTTACTGTATTTCAAAACGTTATTGAGTTTGTGCGCATGTAAGGAAGATTTCCAGTGTATTTAATATGGATGATAATGCCTTTCTCAAATACTATGTACATTAAGATCTGCTGTTGGTTGGAAAACCTCAATAATCCCCAAATGCAAATGACAGGGCAGGGTCACAGATTTCAGGGAAGAAGAGAATTTAAGCATATAGCATGTAATAAAGCAAAACTCAAAGCCTGGGAACTGAGCACAGCTATTAGAAATGCGCCTTATACAAGCCCCACCCATTTAAAAGGGGTCAGTTTAGGGGCACCTGGCTGGCTCAGTTGGCACAGCATGGGACTTCTGATCTCGGGGTTGTGAGTTCCAGCCGCACATTGGGTGTAGAGATTACTTACAAATAGAACATACATACATACATACATACATACATACATACATAAATGGCCCATTTCTCCACAAGTGGGCAGAGGTGGGTGATGGAGCGGTCAGTTCTACCGGTGGTGATCTGCCACCCAATTTCATCCTAAATTCCATGATCAATACCGTGGTGTGTTTAGGTAGCAGCTGAGAAGCTCTGAGCCCAGGTGAGGCCTACCGGACAGCAAACAAGAGTCAAGCACCTCCACAAGCTCTGCACTGCTTAAACTTCTCAATTTCAGCCTCCAAGTCGCTGCAGCCAGAAGACCACAAACATCCGGCCTTTTTCTCCCATCAAAAGTACATCTAACCAACCTCAGGGGAAGAAATAATTAAGGTAGGATTAGGATTTTCCCTTGTTGGTCACTGCTTCACCAGCACGGTTAACACCTATTTCTTGGGAAATCCCTGTTCCAAACACCTACATCAGCAGCCCCACCTCCCAGTTAAGCCCATTTCCTCTCCATGCATCCACTAAATACCACCATTCTCTTTCTATACATATAAACGCCGCACATGCTTGAATCCTGTTAATTTACCCATCTATCTAGGAACACCTGGTAAGTTCATCAGGAGAGTGCTGGGAAGCAAAGTTTCGATCTGTTTTGATAAGTTAAAGTAGCCCTGGTTAATTTCAGTTCCATTCATTTTAAGACTTGAAAAGCACGGGGGCTAACAATATCAAATGAAATGGTATGAAACACACCCGAATTACTCTCATTCCTACCCAAATCCCTTCCCAGAAGCCAGGAGAAGCCAGGGCTGGGCCTGAACCAGGAAGGGCCTCTCCTACCTGCAGGTCCTGGGCTAAGCCAATGCCCACTGGCCTCTGTGGTTCAGTTTCTGTTTGGGCCAACGGAACGAGGGGGCCTGCAAGATTTTTAGGTTGCTGGGGCCCAGCACTGGGGCCTGCTCATCCCATTATGCAGACACAAACTTGGCAGATTCAACCTTAAACCTGTTGGCAAAATAAACAAAACCAAATAAAGGGGAAACCGCCGACCGGAATTGTCTGAAGGGACAGAGGCCCACTATACTCGTTCCTGCTTTGTCCCTGAAGCTGTTACAATGCTAAAGTCAGGTGCCTGAGGTTCATCAGTCAATGACCTCCCCACCCCTCCAGCCCCACCCACCCCCCACCCGCATCCCGCGCAGACCTTCCAGGGCGATCCTTATTGTCTACAAATTAAAGCGTTTTGCAAATTAGATACCTCCACAAAATGCCACGCTAACTGCGCTCACAGGGAGTTACCTCCAGTGCCTTAAAAATCACACACCGAATTCTTCCAGAACCACTTGGTGGTTAAATCGCCCTGAATAAACCAAGAGGGCAGAGCGATGTGAGAAACTTTCTTTCAGGTGGCTGTAAGAGAGTCACGTAAATCTGGGACAGGACGCAGAGCCTGGAACCCATCACAAAGCGCCCCTCGCCCAGGCGAGGATCTCCTTTATGCGATGTGACAGCAGCTTTGTGCGGGATCATAAATAGTTGCCATAAACACAGTTAAGTTCTCCGGGCCGAGCTCTGCCTCCCGCGTCCCCGCGCTGCGGCCGGGCGAACCGGGGCTATTCTTCCCGGAGACTCTCGCCACGGTGATCCCGGCCACCGCACGATCCCACGCCGGCCCCCGGCTCCGTGCCCGCCGCGGCCAGCCTGCAGGCCGGGCGCCCCCCGTCCCCTCCGCCCCACGCGCCCGGGGGTCCCAGGTCCCGAGAACGCGCCGCTCAGGGCCCCCTGCGCCCGCCCACCCGCCCGCCGCCGGCGCACCCGCCCCCCCCCCTCAAGCGCCGGCCCGGAGGGAGGGGGTAGGGAGCCCGGAAGGCGGGCTGGAGGTGCGGAGCCGGGAGGTGCCGGGCAGTCGCGGCCGCGGGGGGCCAGGCCGCGGCGGGGCCGAGGGCACCGGCAGGGCGCCGAAGGCACCGGCCCCCCCGGCCCCCACCCGGGCGCGCGCGCCAATTCCGCCGCGCGGCCCAAGTTCGCGGCCCCCGCCCCGAGCCCGCGCGCAGCACTTACCTCGCCGTGGGCCGCCCGCCGACGCCGGAGGGCAGCGGCGCGGGTCCCGGGGCGGCGGCCGCTCAGCGCCCGCCCAGGCGCCGCTCTTTGTCTGCGCCGCTCCCTCCTCCCGCCGCTCGGCGGACGCTGCCGGCCCGGGCGGACCCCGCCGGCCGGCCGCCGCGAGCCTCCCGCCGCCGAGCCCTCCCGCCGCCCGCTCGGCCGCGCGGCTCCGGCCTGACGATCCCCGCGGCGGCGGCGGCGGCGACCCTCCCCCGGCGCGCTACGCCCGCCTCCTCCGCGCGCTTCCTCCTCCCCCTCCTCCCGCCGCTCCTCCCCGGCCGCGCCGCGCCGCCGCCCAGGGGCCGGCCCGGGCCCGCGCGCCGGGCGGGGGCCCGACACCCACCTGGGGGCGCGCAGGCAGCGCCGGGGCCCGCAGCGTGGCCGGCCTTGGCCACCGCCCGGAGACCAGGAGCTCCCGAACGGCGGGCGCCAGGGGGGTGCGCGGGGCTAGCGCCAACGCGGAGGAGAGGTCCCCGCTCCCCAAACTGCGCGCTCGGGCCGTGGGGCAGCGATGGGGGTGAGCCAACGAGAGAGGAAATAAAGGCAGCAACTTCCAGCCTCAAGTGACTGCTGGGTGGCCTTTCCATCCTCTTTTTGTTTGATTTTCTTATCACGACGCTCTAGTTGTTTGACGACCGGCCCCCTCCCGGAAGCATTCCCACGGCACTCTCAGCGAAGCAGGCCTGTGGTCCATCAGAAAAGTGACTTACATAAAAATGTCACTTCCTTTCTGTAATTGCTTCTGGGCATTTTTATTTATTTGCCTTGTATCTATTTACTTTCCCAAACAGACGCTTTTGTACTCCATCATTCCGGTCGGAAGCACTTCTTAAGAGGAAGAGAGGAAACCCAGCCCAGCCGCCTGCCATGCCTGCTGTCCAGCTCAAGCGCGTGCACCAGGCAGAATCCTGGAAGGAGCTGCCATAATGTGGGCCCCCGAAGGAGTTACCACTCCTAGTGGAACTGGTCCAGTCACCTGGCCACACGTAGGCCCTTACCTGTAAACAAATGTGGAAGATTAAAACCCAAGACGAAGGGGAAAGACAAGTTTTCCTTTAACAGGCACATGCATCCAGATGTCTGTTCTCCAGTCTCCTTCCCATATGGCTTCCCAAAAGGAAATACTACTATTCAAATGATTCTGATTTCCTGACGGAATAGCCTGGATCCATGTTAATGAGATTCTTTCTTAGGCTCCTGGCTTCTCACTATTATTAAGGCAATAATAATTTACCCAAGGTGACAAGGCTATATGATCTGGATCATTCATCCCCTGCCTTGTTCCCAAAAGGAAGTACCCAAGTAGGGTAACCAGAACCAGTATAACTTCGAAGTCACAGGACAGTGTTTGACCATCTGCTTTTTCGACTGTGGAACCTTGTACAGGTGTTTCTTAACCAATCTAAAATCTAACAAATGGAGAGATCATATTTACCTAGCTCCTATGTCAGTCCCTGGCACCCTTCCTGGCTATAGGGAGCACTCAGTAGGTCACTAGTTGGAGGTAGGTACAGTGTACTGAGCAGCAATGAGTCCAAGATCAGGGAATCTGGATAGCCTCCTTCTCTTTGACCTTGGGAGAAAAGATACCTCAGTCCTCCTTTTGTCTTACTAATAAGGAAAGCAGAATCATAATAAATGGTCTGGCCCAATTTTAAATTAGTTTACCCAAAATACATATAATAACATTGACCCAGTTTTTAACTTGTCTGCTTTGTAAACCACCACTGAATCATCGTTCTTGAACTCCTCTTCCTTTTTCCTTCCTTTACAAAGGTAAAGTCCCCAAGGACATTCTCTGTCTAAAACCCAATGTCCCTTTCTTAATCTTTATCCTATGCAGTTTTCAGAAGCACCTGGCATTTCTGCTATTATCTGAAATTCAGTCATCTTCATTTATCTAACACAGCTACCTTTCTGACCTTTCCACATCTGTCCCTTATAGGGCATGTTGTCCTTCCAGCGTCTAACAGTAATATTCCAGAAGCAGAATTTGGCCCTTTGTTTTTATTCTGATATGTGCCTTTTTTTTTTTTAAGAGAGTTGATCACTTTTATTTATTTATTTTTTGTATGCTCTCAGTCTGGATATTCAGCGATTAACTCCCAGATCTGTAGCCTTAGAGAGTTCCCCAGCTTGTCGGCAGTCTCTCTGGGCAGCTCATCATCTCTTCAATATCACCAGGTCCAGAATGAAATTTATCTCCTTCCCAAAGTAGCTCCTCCTCCACGGTCTCAGGCTTGGCCAAGAATCCACCAAGCATCTCAGCTCCCGGGAGAAACTTCATTGCAATTCCATTTCTTCTTTCCCTCTTCCAAGCTCTCCCCAAGGGCAGTGAGGAGAGGGCCCTAGATGACCTTGGGATCCCTCTCAGTCTAAATCCTCATGATTCTGAGTCCTGGTGATCTTGAAACAGCTCTTTGTATCTTCTTTTTCCTTTCCAGTGGTACCTTCCAAAGTTTTACATTATTACTGAGAATACTTATGAAACTTCTTTTAGTTCTTTATATATATATATATATATATATATATATATATATATATATATATATAATAATCTGTAACTCACACATGATAGTATTATCCTCATTATACACATGAAAAAATGGAAACAGTAAGTGAAGGAACTGGGGTCAGAACTGAACATACTTGACTCCAAAATTTGTGTTTTTTCCAGTACACCCACTACCTTCCAACTAGCCTCCTGTCACTCACTTCCTCCCATCTCCCAAATTTATGCTGGATATCAGTGTCACTGTAGTTTTCCTAAAAATTGCATCTATCTGGCCTCACCCCTGATCAAGAAATAACCATGGCTCCCCATTGCCCACCACAGTTCCTCAAAAGTTCTCTGACAGCAGAAGACTTGAGCGCTTGCTTCTGAGAAAGCTGAGGAACTGAGCCCTAAGAGGCCTATATTCGTTTCCCTGGGACTATCTTAATAAATTACTTCAAACTGTATGGCTTAAAACACAGGAGTTTATTCTCACAGACTTCTGGAGGTGAGAGTCTGAAATCAAGGTGTCAGCATACTCTCTCAGAAGGCTCTAGGGGAGAATCCTTCCCTGCCTCTTCCAGCTTCTGGGGGCTCCAGACATGCCCTGACTTGTGGAAACATCACTCCAATCTCTGCCTCTGTCTTCCCATGGCCCGATCCCCTGTGTGTTCTGGCCCCTTCTCTCTTGCCATTGGATTTAGAGGCCTCCCCCCCCATTCCAGAATGATCCCATCTTGAGATCCTTACTTATAACAGCTACAAAGATCTTTTTTCCAAATAAGATCACATTCACAGGTTCCACATGAACATATCTTTGGGGCCACCATTCAACATGGGGGAGACATTTCTTTCAAGCTGATGTTTTGTCTGAAAATGTATCTCTCTGCATTCCACTCCATTAGTATGCCCTGTTTGTTTTACTATTGAAATGTCTTCAATAATGAAATATTGAAAGTGAAAAAGTATAAACCTGGGGCACCTGGGTGGCTCAGTTGATTAAGCATCTGACTCTTGATTTCAACTCAGGTAATGATCTCAGGGTTGGGAGATCAAGCCCCGCCATATTAAGATTCTCTCTCTCCCTCTCCCTTCCTCTCTCTCTCTATAATAAAAAGAAAAAGAAAAGGTATAAGCCTTTCCCCCCAAATCAATTCAACGTTAAATCCTAAGACTTATCTTTCAAAGATCTCTCAAACTTAGTCCTACCACAGCAATCTCATTGTTGACTCTGTCCCAATATAAGCTATTTACTCCAGTCACTCTGCTCCCCACCCTGTGCACCACATAGTCACACCTCAATAGTGCAGACACAGGAAGGAATTCCTCATCCCCCTCCTCTTCCTTCAGAGTTCAATTCAGAGCCCCCTCATTGGACTCATGGGAAACCCAAGGTAAGGTTGAGGGTGTTGGGTCAGGCTTCAGAGGCCTGCAGCCTGCCTACAAGCCCATGACTTGAGATCATTTAACCTCTCTGGATCTCAAATAGAAGTAACACTACTCTTACAAAAAGCTGTGAGAATAAGTGAGATAATGTAAACATGTCTCAACTGTGTGTTTGGCACAAGGTAAACACTCATATCAGCTTTTCTATGACTTTCTATTTCAACGTCCAATTTAATTAAACACACCTGGTATATTTCTATTTGTAAGGCATTATGAGAGATAATTCAGGAAAAATAAGGATAAGTTGAGATTTTAATCTCAGAGGAAGGAAAGGACCAGGACACAAATAACTCCAATATAAAACTAGATATGAAAAGCACCAAGTGAAATATGTTTGGGGAGTCAAAGGAGTCTTTAGATTTTATGAAAGGTGGTGGCATTGGGAGTGGACCTTGAGAGACTTTGGTGGCCCTCCAGCCAGCCCCCTTTCTGGTTGTAGGGTGGCCCCCAGCTGACCAGTGGGCTTCTCCATCTCCTCCCTCCCAAAAGCCCTCTAAGAATGAATGGTCGGGGATTGACTGGTAGAAACTTCTCACTCAGGACTTTGAAACTGGAGAGTGTGAGAGAAGAGGAAGAAGAGATTCAGTTTGCTTCCTTACAGAGATGTTAACCTGCTTGGTTCTCGCCCCTTCTCCCAGCTCCTCCAGCCCCACTGCAAGCTACTTGATATCCTTCCCATAAATCCCTGTTCTGCTTAAGGTAGCCAGAGCCCCTTCCCCTTCCTGCTACCCAAACCCCTGAATGATAAAAACTATAGGATTTTGAAAGTTAGAGACAGGGGGGATATTCCTGGTGGAGGGAACTTAGAACCCCGAGCACAGGGGGAATGTGGGAGGATTCCACGGAACAGGGAATCCTGTTGCCCCCAGTTGCCTCAGTGGAGCAGAGGATGCCAGCCAAGGATCCAGAGGAGATAAGACCAAGGAGATACGGTAGTTAAGTGTGGGCATCACCCAGGCTTGGCGGCAGGATAACTCATTAGGTGTGCATACCAAGAACACCTGGAGGTAGGAAGAGCGGTAATACGTTTGCATTACTCAGAGAAGTAATAACCCAAACTCAGGTGGAGTCTATGGATGGGCAGTGGTGTAGGAGAAATTAAGGGGAAAGGCTCACAAGGAATTGACAAGTGATTGGATGTGGGGAGGCGAAGGAGAAGGGACATCAAATACAGCCTGAGGGTTCGGATGTGGATGCGTGCGAAGATGATGGTGGCAATATCACCAATAGGAAAGCAGGGTAAACTGGTTTGTGAGGGA